GTCCATTATAAATATATACACAAATATTGTAACACAGAAAAATAAATTTAAATTATCAAAAGAATATGCTGAAATATAGTCACTATATAGATTAGATTAATAAAAACACAACATTTGTAAAATTTAGACCTGTTCATCAAAGCAGCTCAGAAAAATCTGAAGGTCCTTCCGAATCAGTCAATACAAACATTATCTTTAAGAAGATCAAAATACTTTAAATTTCTAATACAAAGAGTTCATGATTTGAACAGCATATGTGTGTTTTTCTCTTACTGAAAAACCTGTCATATATACAGCTAAGGATGTGTTTTTAATGATATACCCTATTTCTTTGTTCATGACACATCAACATCAATGATGTCATATAGCCCTTACAATAAGGTCTGTTAATAAATGCAGTGTCTATTAAACTGAGACAACATCAAAACATACAACTTTACTTACCACATAAAAGAATATATGTGTCTTTCATTGACTTTAGTGTAAAATTGTTTCAATTTAGTCAAAGAAAAAGAAAAGGAAATTTAGAATCCATGTAATTGTAGTTTTATGAAGAACAATAATAAAACGACCATTGCATTTTAGAAAAGCTTTCAACACCTTGAAACATATACACATATTACAGGATAACTGCTAAGTTATTAAATAAGCAAAATGATACAGTATCCTAGCAATAAATATAGCATAGGTCTCTGAAATAAAATTGCCTGACTTCAAATCCTAGCTCTGTTTATTAGTTAGGAATAACCTAGGAAAATAAACTAACCACTACATGTTTCCATTTCTCCATCTATCTATAAAATACAGATAATAATAAGAATTCATACCTGGAAGAGATGTTTTTTAAATATCAAAGGAGGTAATACCGTATCTACATAGAGTAAGCAATTTAAAAAAAAGGCTTTTTCCCCCCTTTTTCTCAATCTAAATAGAATTTGTCATACATTTTGAAAGTAAGAATGAAGACCTCTAATTTTAAAAATTGGTATTAAAAGTCCTAAGTTCACTCAAGACCATAATTACCCTTCTGCAACCTGAGCACAATCCAATGGAACACTTAGATAAATGTTTAGAAAGTTCTCTTGTCAAGGTGACTTTATCTCAGTTGTTTCAAAAGAAAGAAAAAAAGAATGAAACACAAGGATTCTTTCTTAAAGGGTGAACAAAAAGAATTTAGAATCACTGCATTTACAAAATGATTGTCTTGAACAGCAAATTTACTGAGGAAAATGCAAGATTAGTAGTAAAATTCAAATATTTTAGCGTTTTTAGGATATTCAGTTAAAGTGTTGATGCCATCCAAATTACCAAATCTGTTACATATAAAATTGCTATTCTCTATAAAGAAATTTCAACTGTCTATGACTAGTCTGGAACCAGTTATGCTCTAACCTAACACAGCCATTCAACTATCTTTGGGATTATTGTATTCTCTTTTCTCATAAAGAAGTTAATACAGGTGGCAGAATGTAACAAAAAAAATCAACAGTGTAGAAGGCTTTTTAATAAATTTCATTTTGGCAAATGATCATATGCAAATTAGCAAATATTGAAATCAGGATGATTTTATTTATTTGTTCTGTACATATCTGATTAATAGGCACTAATTTTGTTGATGATAACAAGAGAACTCTATTGTTATACACAGATTAGAAATGTAAACACTTAGCATTTCCCACAACTACTGACTTCACAAATTATTTTGAATGTTATTTCAAATAACACTGTGAGTGCCAGAGGTTAGGTAAGCAAAGAGCTCTACTGCCCCCTAATGAAGTAAAACAAAAAAGCCCAAAAACTCAGAAAACTTGTTTTGAGGTATGTGTGGAACAGGAAAATAATCTTACTTTGCTAAATGCAGTAGACAAACAGTAAGAAAATTAACTGAAAACAACTAGAATATCTATCAAAATACTATAGGAAAAGCTAGAATCATCCAGTTTTCATGATAAAATTAGTAGCAAAACAGGAAAGCCTCGAGACAGAACTGTTCTAACAGAAAGGAGGCCAGTACAACAATGTTATCTAAAGTGACAGCAATTAAAACTTCGCCTCAGGCTACACTTTTCATGTGTATGTTGGAAGGGAATGAGAAGAAAGAGATTCTTAGAAACCATGCTTTTCAGTGAATTACTGTAAGTTTTCATTTCAGCAGCTCATACTTATTGTAAATACTATCAAAATATTCTCTTACAATTTGCACTGACTCTAATCCTCTCAGAATTATTTTAATATATGTGTACTTTCAGGATAACTACATTGTAAAACATACATTTGACGAAAAAAACAAACCATACATTTGAAAGAATTTTACCTGTTTCCTGTTTTAAACAAATGTCAATTTCTTAAGCATGACAACTGTGTACTTTATGATACTCTGCATCATAAACTAACCAGCGATAACTTTTAATCTTCCTTTTAATAAAATTTCTCCCTTCCTTTAACAAATTTGGTTTTTAAAACATGTTCCATACTCATGTTCCTTTTACCTAATACTCTAACCTGTCTAGAATTCCCGAATTCTCATTCAGAACAGAGCAAATGTTTGGGGGAAGAGCAGTGTGTGGTCCTTAATAACAGAAGTTATGTAAAAATTAACATCAAGGAATCAGATATAACAAGAGTACAAAGAATAGAATACCAGATCATAAAAACATGGAGAAAAAGTAAAGCTTCCCAGCAGCAGTTCACTGAGGGGAACAGAGGTATGGTAGATAACTGTTCCTTTATAGCTAGGGCACATGTCCCTTGGAGAGGGCCTGTTTCTAACCAGGTTGACCGTGGTTGTACATTCCACTATATGTCTGTTGTTTACAATATATAAGAAGTAGGGACCGAATCCACAAAATGCCACAGGGGAGACAGGCAACACAGAGAAAGAGGGTCACTTAAGTCTGCATACGAGATGAAAATATCCTTTACATTCCTGTGCTGCTGCTCTTCCCAAGTGTCCGTTAAGGAAAATGGTTCTCTAGCTCTGCAAGTCATAAGGGTAACCAAATGTTCATTCAAAATTTTAAAACAGCAACAGACAGAAAAATACAAATGTACTCCAGCCTGTACCTCAAATGAGTTGGATCTCACATCTGTATAGATTTCCTGAATAATATGAATGAATTAAAAACATGACTCTTTTACTTGAAGCATTACTCATTCATTCCTACTGCCTAAAGATATAACTGACACAGAGACATGTTTTGAAGACACAATAAAGAAGCTGGGAGGACTCAAGCATCCCAGAGTTAAACACTGCCAAAGTTATGATGCTTAAAGTATATCAAATATAGAGTCAAAATTGTATCCTTCCAAGCTATAAATTCCATTTAGCTACTCAGACTGAACATATGATAGTCACGAGAAATAAAGCAGTGAACGTATACCTGGAGAACGCATATATGTATGTGTATATAGGTGTGTGTTTTCCCTCATGGAAGAGTCTCAGTCCACACCAGTGAGTTTCAGGTTATTATCCTAAAGCTAAAGGAATGCCTTCCCTAGTTCACGGAGAGAAAAAAAAATAAAGGACTTTCCAGGCTATCCTTTCCCTCCTCTATTCTCAGAAGCATACATATGAAAAATATGATCAAAAATTAAAGGAAGAAAGAATGAAAGAAAAGGGAAAAGGTTAATTTCATCAAGAAATAAAGTTAGTGGCAGCTTTGGTTTAAAACAAAGAGATTTATTTATTCATTAGCCCAAGAAAACTTTTATTGATGATGATGAAGATGGCAGCAGCCAGCATTTATAGAGCATCATGTACTTTACATACACTGAGTATCTGATCTTCATAAAAGCCCTGTGAGACAGATATATTATTCCTGTTTTACAGATGAAGAAACTGACACTCATAAAGATTAAGTAACTTGCCCAAGGTTAGACCGCTACTAAATTGCAGAGCATATATAACACAGCAGTCAGTTCGACACTTAACCATTAAGTTTATGTTCTTTTCTGGTCAAAATGTGTGAAATGAAATGATTCTTTGCAAACACTGTAATAAATTAATAAATTATACATGTTAAGATCCAATTCAATTGCCTAAAATTCTGTGGACATGTAACCTGAGCTAGGCACTGATGCCAGTTCTTATGGAAGACAGAAATGTACAAGACATAATAAACAGTGAAAGTGCTAACAAAGAAGTAATAATATACACATCCTTCAATGCCCATTATAAATAATAACATTTCTTCCACTATTCTCTGATCACATACAGCCACAGTAACCTCTTCTTCTTCAGAGCTTCCCACCTCACTCTCACCTCTATTTTATTTGTCTTAAAATGAGACAGTCTCATTTATTTAAGGAAAGAAAGTCACTCCTCCTGCTCTCTCTCTTAAAGATATTCAATTGTAGTAAAAAATATATAAAAATAGCATTCAATGACAACTGAAATACACATTTCTCAATATGCTGTAGTACATTGTCCATAGCAACTCTTTTACCTTTGATAACATGTTCAGGTTTTCTTAAATTAATACTAAAGAAAAAAATCACCATGCAGTTTAAAACTAATCCAAAATTCTATTTTGTAATAGCTGAGATTTAAACACACACACAGGCATACTAAACATACACAAGCAGAACTCAGGTCACCTTCATATTTCAGGCACTGGCTGGACAACATTATTCCCTCTGCCATATGTATGCAGCTTAAAACACAAAACACCCAGAAACATCCACAATTATCTAAAACATTAAAATCATAATTTTATATAACCACTACCAATTTTTTCCATTGCAGAATTTAAAAGACATTATAACATATTCTTGCAAGAAAAGTACCTTCTAAGACAACCTGTTTTTTAAAATAAATAACAAAGTGATATGTAAATCTGACATCAAAACTTGTCACAAAGATCTGTCATTTTGTTAATCTTTCTTTCATTTTAATTAAATTATGTTTAAACCTTCAATTCAAAGAACAAAGACCTTGCTAACAATAAAGTACAAGACCTAGTAAACAAAATACATCCTTTCAGTGGGATACCCTTTCTTACCTTCGAATCCTCATTGCTCACTCCTAGCTGTAACACAGCTTGAGGAGATTTTAGTTTTGCTTGGGCAGAGTGAGCCATCTGAAGGTTAAGCTGCCATCCAACCGTCTCCAGCTACAAAAGACAAGCACAGATTGGAATCAGATGGTACAGAAGGAAGAAAACAGTCAACTTTAAGCAAATCTCCAATCAGCAGGAATGAACATGGATAGCCTGGACTTTGTGGAAAGTCAGTTCCAGAGCTCCTTTAACCTGCACACTCTGTACATTCTCCCTTAGGGCTCATTAGATTGGCCACGTGCCATGCCTGTCAAATTCAACAGTAAAACTGGCCTTTAAATACACTCTGTTCTAAAAATAAAAGTTCTGCGACTAAGCGATGAACTACACTAAAGGAGTCAATGGTTTTTAAATAGTAAATTACTATTTTAAAACAGTATATTTTAGGGAATTCCCTGGCCGTCCAGTAGTTAGGACTCTGCGCTCTCACTGCCGAGGGCCAGGATTTGATCCCTCCCTGGTCACGGAACTAGGATCCCACAAGCCATGCGGTGCAGCCAAAAAAACAAAAACAAAAAACAGTATATTTTAAAGCCAATGGTTTTTAAATAGTTATAAAATTTAACCAGTAAATAGCATATACTGGTGATAAGTACTTTAATGACCTCCTATTATCTTTCAAAACTCTTTGCAGTAAGTAGAACATGGTAGAACTTTTTTTTTTTTAAAGGGAAATTGAAGTGCCCAGATGGTAAGAGGTTCACACATTTAGACACAGTTAGTGAGATTGGAATAGAGCCAGGCAAAGAATTGATATCTACTAGTGAGCAGGTTTTATCATGCTTTCCAAAGTATTCTAACTTACTATGGTTCCCAGTTATGACAGAAACTAATTAGAATACTTCCTTTGAATTTATTAATTAACAACAGCAAAATTGAATCAGGAAGGCAAAAACAGTAAAGACACACTAAAACAGCTTAAGTTTCAAAATGGCTTTACTGAACAGGACAGATTATTGGTTTCTCCAACCTCAAAACTATGAAGTTTTAAATCTAATTTCCAATAAATCTAAAGTATCAATATTTAGGGAAGTTTTGTGACATGTAATTGTCATATACCTCTGACAACATGACTCTAGTAATTGATTTAGTAAAACTACCTTAGCTACACTGGTAAGAATGGCAGCCTCACAACAATTTTTACTTAACTGGAATACTAATTGCTAACTTGAAAGACTGTTCAACAGCTAGAATCACAGCAGTGACTCAAAGCCAAGTTGGAAAGAGAGCAATGAAAGTATTATCTATTCGAGAGAGGATGTGATGAGAAAATAAAGATACAATTCTGTACTTTCTGGCACTGAACCTTTTAGAGTTTATGGGTAAAAAGGGGGAAGATGTTGCAGAGACATAATCCATAGTACCACAAGTAAAAAAATCAATTTAATGGTACATGTTAAGGATCCATAATGTACTGATCTTTAACACTGATTACAGCAGTAACATAGTCTCTAATAGCAGCCCACTACTTTTTCAACAGTCACATGCTATAGACCCTCCAATGTAACAGGAAAGAACATGTCATAACTACTCTCATATATCCAAGCATTTTGATACACATCACCATCTTAATTGAAAAGCACCCTCTAGGTATTTGTATGGAGCTGTAAGACGCTGTTTTGATCTCATTTAACTAATCCTATCCCTGTCCTTTAAGCACTTAAGATAAATGACAAAGATAAATATTAAGTGAATAAACTGAAATATGGTCCCACTATGGGCAGGCCTTTGCATAAATTAATGTATGCTCACTCGCTGCACAGAGGTAGATGGGAGGGCTGAGATCACTGAACTTAAAGCTTACGCTTTAGTTCATGCTTACACTGCCACTCACTAGCTAGGTGACCCTGATAGTTAAGTCACAATCTTTCAAGGTCTCAATTTCCTCATAAAAAATGGAAATAAATCTACCTGAATTATCTACTTTTCTGAGTTACTGATAATATCAAATAAGAAAATGCATATTCAAATTGCTTTGGAAACTGCAAAGCATTATAAATATAAGGCATTTGGGTCGCCTAATTTTTCCTACAGTATCTTTTTTTAATAGTATGTTTTAAATAGAGTTGACACTCTATATCTATCTGCTGAATTGAAACAAATCAAAAAATACAAGGAAAGGTAAATTTTTAAAACCATCATAACTAAAAAGAGTTCGTTGGTTGATGTTCTTAAATTCTAGAGCCTTTTCTATTGAATTCTGTGATTTAAAAATATTTGTCCCGGGCTTCCCTGGTGGCGCAGTGGTTGAGAGTCCGCCTGCCGATGCAGGGGACACGGGTTCGTGCCCTGGTCCGGGAAGATCCCACATGCTGCGGAGCGGCTAGGCCCATGAGCCATGGCCGCTGAGCCTGCGCGTCCGGAGCCTGTGCTCCGCAACGGGAGAGGCCACAACAGTGAGAGGCCTGCGTACTGCAAAAAAAAAAAAAAAATTTGTCCCATGCCCCCATGAAAGAGTAATTTTAAAAGTAAAAACAAAAAATTGCTAAACTCATATGTAGGTATATGCACATACACACACCCACTCATAAAATTTCATAGAAAAAGATCAGTATTCAGAAAACTTAAATGAAGAGGGAATAAAAGATAACTAGAATTATTTTAAAAAATACTTTGCAGTTTCACAGAATAGTAAGAAAAACAAAACTAACAAAATATTTACAGTGAAACTAGGAGACAACAGCAACACTACTTGAGATAGGTACTCTTATTATCCCCATTCTAGAGATTAAATATGTAAAATGTAAACAACTGGTACATAGGAGTAAAAAGTATATGAAGATTCCTTATGTTATTATTCCCACTTTTCTCTGTTTGAAACTATATCAAAATCAAAAGTTACAGAAATTAAAAAAAAAAAGTTACAGAAATTGATTCAAGTAAAAATCATCCATGGATACTAAATTTAAGTGGAGAAAGTTTGATTTGAAATGAACAGTCACAAAGTTTCTGCCCACAATTCCTTTTTAGTTGCAAAAGAAGAAAATAATTATGCAGTTGAAAAAAAAAGCAACATTTTAATCAAGAGATCAAAATTAACATCACCAAAAAGTAGCAAATGGACAGCAGGTGCCTCTAGAAATGATATCCTGCGAAGACCACAACATCATTTACATAACTTTCTAGCCAAAAATCATAACTAAATTTGATCATGAAGAAACGACAGAAAAAAACAGAGAAACACATAAAACAAGTGGAAGGTACACTTGAAAAACATCAATGTCTTAAAAGACAAAGAAAAGCTGAAGAAAGAAGGGATTCCTTAAACTGCTTAGAACATATAGTATTTTCTGGGTCTGTAATAGGCACTGGTAATACAAATATGAATAAAACAAAGGCCCTTTGCCAAGGTGAAAATCTTACAGTATACTATTTAATTATTCCTCTGAGACTCCTAAGAAACAAATATGATAGTCATCAATATTTAATTACATAGGAAACAAAATCTAGCACAGAATTTTGACTTAAGTTAGCTAAACTACATTTGCTTCTATTTAAAAGAAAATTCTGTATAGTGTATATGAGGCATTTGTACATTAAAATACCAGGAACCATTTTAATATAATTTGTTTCGATATCTCATATTCAAATTTAAATCTGAGGGTGTTTATACCTTAACCAACATCTTAAGTTTAAATGTCTTCAAAATAACATGAAACACAAGGAAAATGAGCCACTAATATTTTTAATGTTTTCCAACCCATGCCAAAACTGTTTACATGATAGTTCTTAGGCATCTCATTTACATTACTTATTACCTGACAATGTCACTAACATGTCAGTTCAAAATATAAGGACTTCATTCTCCCTCTAACTTCCACATAAAAAAACTCAGCATAAGCTTAAATTCTCGTAGTAATTGCGTTGTAAACCACAGTTCCAAGCATATGCAAAATTAGCCAAAATTACAATAATATTAACTCTTTTAAAATGAGAAAGAAAATGTAAAGTTAATCACCATACTTTAACTACTGGATCTCTCAAATAGTAGCCTCTGCTTGGATCATATCACATAGTAAGAAACACTTTTTTATGTTGCAAACTGATATACATATACAAAAGTGTCACAAAACAATTTTTACCCAGAGCAGTAATACAGAATCTCTACTATGTTTCACTTTTAAAATACGAATTCAGGGACTCCCTCAGTGGTCCAGTGGCTAAGATTCTGTGCTCCCAATTCAGGGGGCCCGGGTTCGATCCCTGGTCAGGGAGCTAGATTCCACATGCTACAACTAAGAGTTCACATGCTGCAAATAAAAGATCTCACATGCCGCAACTAAGACCCAGTGCAGCCAAATAAATACTTTAAAAAATAAAAATTTAAACAATTTAAAAATTAAAAAAATAATAAAATACTAATTCAAAACCCTCCAAATTGATTTCATTACCTACTAAGCCACTAATAGGTCAAGCTATCTATCTATAGTTAGAAAAAATACTGCTCAGAAATACAGAATGAGTTTTAGGAATTATGTGTATGGATACTCATGAAACAATTATTATTTATTATAATGTCATGAAAACACAAAGTAGAACTGTAACTGCTAAAAGAGAAAACAGTACCTATATTTTGTTGCTATAATCCATCATTCATTTTATAACTGGCAAATACTATAAGCAGAAATTCTGTATATATATGGCTTATTACACAAACTATACATTACTATTTACGCCTATGAAATATAAAACTTAGGAAGTTAACTAAACATTTAATACAAGAAGAGCATGAACTTACCTGTTTTTAAGGCTTAGCTAAACACTTGCTCTATAATTTCCTTGACCATTTCTCTTGACTTCAATGATTTTTTCGTATATAATCTACTGATTAATTATAAAAATTCCCAACTTAAAAAAAATTCTAGTTGGCTTATTCTTTGTTTTCTAAAATTATACATATAGAATAAAGCATGATACAAGAACTTTTTCTAAATCTTTCATACAGGGGAGAAGGGCATTTTTCAATTCAATGTAATCTGCTTAATAAGGTTAGCTTTTAGAAGCATTTCTCATTATAACCCTGTATCACCAAGAAAGGAATACCTGCTGGGAAA